GGTGTAGGGCACAGTCAAGGGCACATACCTGGGTTGCAGCTTCACTTCCCCACTCCTAGTTAGGGCAAGTGCAAGAGGCAACCAGTTGATGTCTGTCTGTCTGTCTGTCTCTCTTTTCCCCTCTCTTTTCTCCTTTCCTCTCTCCCTCACTATCTGAAAAGCAATGGAAAAAATGTTCTCAGGTATAAGTTTCAAAATAAATGAGGATTTTTTTTAAAGGTGTTTATAAAAATAATAATAAAAAATAATAAATAAATAAATAAATAAAGGTGTTTAGATAGATATACATAGCAATTGAGTCCTCCATGGAATTAAGTGGTATGGTATTCATAAGCACATCAGTGAAAAAAGGTGGTTATTATACAATATCATCCCTTTTTGAATATGGTTTATTGATTTCAGAGAGAGGGAGAGAGGGAAAGATAGAAACATCAATGAGAGATAGAATCATGGATCAGCTGCCTCCTGCACGCCTCCTCCCGTAACCCAGGCATGTGCCCTGACCTGGAATTGAACTGTGACCTCCTGGATCATGGGCTCAATCTTGGTGCAACATCAGCCAGCACATCATGCCATTTTTGGAAAATTGGTAAGTAATATAATGTATATATTTACTTATATATACACTGACATCACCAATATGTTTATGATTATCTACAAGTGGTAAATTTATAAGTCATTTGTTTTCTATTTTTTTAAATATATTTTATTGATTTTTTACAGAGAGGAAGAGAGAGGAATAGAGAGTTAGAAACATCGATGAGAGAGAATCATCGACCAGCTGCCTCTTGCACATCCCCTACTGGGGATGTGCCCTCAACCAAGGTACACGCCCTTGACCGGAATCGAACCTGCGACCTTTGAGTCCGCAGGCCGACACTCTATCCACTGAGCCAAACCGGTCTCGGCTGTTTTTCTATTTTTGAATTATATAGTTCATATGCATTACTTATTTTTTAAAAATTCAAGTTTTCTTTTGAAAATATCTCTTTACCCCCCACTACCCATCTATCAGGGAACCTGGTAAATCAGGGGCAGCTGGTTTAGGAGGTAGGCCAAATGTTTCATTTACTACTTCAAAGAAAAAGTTTTATCCTTTTTAATTCTCATTTCTGAAGCACTGGTTAAGAAATGAGAGCCATTTCTTGAAGGTCGCTGTCACTACCTCAGCTATACAGAACGAGAGAAGGGGCAAAGAGGAGGAAACAAAGGGCACAGTAGATTTGAACCTTACTCTTGGCAAAGCTCCTCACAGATAAGAGATGAGCTCAGAAGAGCATGTCTCTGCAGCTCTGCCCACAGGCCTGAGCCAAGCACCACTGCTCTAGTAACTGATGGCAGGCACTTTCCCTTTCTGACAATAGACTGAGTACTTCCAAGAGGGAAATGGCCTGGAAAACTTAGGACTTGTGGTTCCTGAATCCTGACCATACTTTACAATTACTCCAACAGCACATTAAAAAAAGCAAAAGACAAACCTCTGGGTCTCACCCTAGACCTACTGAATTAGAATCATATAGGTTGAGCCAAGGGATTTAAAAAAAAAAAAAAATTCCAAGTGATTCTGAAGCAGACAACCCACATACCAGTATTCAGCGATCTTTTAACAACTGCTGGCTAGAAGGAACCAAGAAATACCTGTTCCATCTGACTCCAATTAGATTAGTATCAAAGTCAGGTCAAAAAAATGAAAAGTCTCCAACATGACTCAAATTACACTAGCTTTGGTGTTTTACCAAATCTCATCACTGAGAAGCTCACCCTCTTAACCTCACCAAATCCTGTTATGAGTTACAGTCCATTCTCTTTTATTTGGTTCCAGTGGACCCTGGAAACAGATCATCTCTGTTAAAATGTGTGATTACATTGGAAGACAGAGATAAGCTATAACAAAGCAAAAAGAACTCCTCCTTCCCGTGTGGCCAGCCCTGAAGCCACAGAGCATGGGACACACACACACACACACACACACACACACACACACACACACACACACGACTGAACACAATGAAGCACAGCAAGCACTCCGCCGAGGGTCATGCCTATCATCACACATTTAGAACAATGTACTATGCAAGATCTTTTTCTCTGTGAACCTGTTTCTTGAACAGAAAAAAAAGCTAATGCTTCCCAGGGATATTTTTAGGTGGTATTTCATGCTGTGGTTCAACAACATGATGAAATCTCAATGTTTTCTACCCAGTGAGTTTCTTCTGGACCTAGGAAGGTAAGACTATGCCTTACCAGAGTATTTTCTACGGTTCTGACCCCTCACAGTGGCATGGAGTCGCTGATTTCCTAAGTCCCATATTCTTCTTTAGTCACAAAGAGTTAAAATATCGGGTCTAGTAATACTTAATGTCGTTTTTAACATTCGTTTAAAATCTTGCTTGGCGTTGACTTGTATTGACATAACCTTCAAACATGTGGTATCTACAGAACGTGTGAAGTGCAATTAACAAGTTTTGCTTGAAAAAGTTTGTGTTTGGTTTGGTTTTTGTTGCAAAACTAGGGCTAAGAAGATGGCGGATGAAGAGCATATTCGGCACTGCATGCTTTACGAGTCCCAATTAGTAAGAAAAGCAAGTGAGGCTGCAAAAAGCATCTGTAGTGCTCTTGGTCAAGATGCAGTTAGCGCCAGAAAATGCCAGCGTTGGTTTGAGAAATCTCGCGAGGGAAATTTTTCGTTAGATGACAAGAGTGGTCGAGGCCGTGTGTCCAATTTTGATCAAGAAGCTCTTCAAGCTCTTTTGGTGCAAAATCCTCAAATTACCCAACTTTTTGCGACAACTTGCGACAACTTTTTGCGACAACTTTTTGCGACAACTTGCGACAACTTTTTGCGACAGCTTGCGACAACTTTAAATTGTTCACAAAAAACAATTTCCAATCAATTGCGTGCACTTGGCAAAGTCCAAAAGTTTGGAAAATGGGTTCCTCATGAGTTGACCGACAATAACCGTAATCAAAGAGTCACAATTTGCAGTTCGCTCCTCTCTCGTCAAAACCGTTTGCTGTTTTTAGAGCAAATTGTTACCGGAGATGAAAAATGGTGCTGTATGTTAATTTGAAAAGGCGGCCTCAATGGTTGGACAAAAATGAGGCTCCGCAGCCCACACCAAACCTGACTTGCATGCAAAAAAAGTGATGATGTGTGTTTGGTGGAATTTTAAAGGAATTCTTCATTATGAACTTCTACCATCTAACCAAACCATTACAAGTGCAGTGTATAGTGCCCAATTGGAAAGGTTAGCCCAAGCTTTAAGAGAAAAAGAACCCGCGCTGATTAATCAGAAGGGCGTAATCCTTCACCACGATAACGCACGACCGCATACTGCAAGAATCACTGCTGAAAAACCGCGCCAGTTGGAATGGGAAGTTCTCCCTCAACTTGCATATTCTCCTGATATTGCCCCTTCCGATTACCATTTGTTTCGTTCTTTGCAAAGCTTTCTTCTTGGAAAAAAATTTAATAATGAAGAATGCCTCAAAAATGCATTGACCGAATTTTTTGCATCAAAATCACAAGAATTTTACAACAGAGGGATTAAAATGCTTCCTGAGCGTTGGGCACAAGTAGTAGAAAACAACGGCAACTATATTGTTGATTAAATTTTGTTGTATTGTTTAAATAAATTCGATTTAAAAAGTATTAGAAAACGACATTAATTATTACTAGACCTAATACTTTTCCTATTGTGTTAGTTTTAAAACATGGCCCAAGTTCTCTGATACTCTTCTCATCCAAAACTAGGGTTCTCAACTCTGTGAAATGTACTAAAAGCCACTGAACTGTAGGCTTAAAATGATTTAAATTATGAATTTATATTATATGAATTTTACCTGAATTTTTTTTGTAGTTTATTTTTTTTTATTTTTTTTTTATTTTTACATATTTTATTGATTTTTTTTTTGCCCCCCTCCTTCCCTCCCACATATCCCCTCCCTCCCTTACCTGAATTTTTTAAAAAGTATGATTCTCGTCTGGCCAGTGTGAGCGTAAACCTATGAACCAGGAGGTCACGATTCATAACACATGTGGGCTCAATCCCCCTTCGGGGACATACAGGTGGTAGCCAGATAAATAATTCTCTCTCATCATTGATGTTTCTAGCTCTCTCCTACCTTCCCCTTTGAAATCAATAAAAATATATTTTTTAAATTAAAAAAAAAATTTTAGGTGTGATTCTCTATCTCCTCCTCTTGACTCTAGAGTCTGTGCCTGCTTAACCTGTATAATTGGGCAGAAATGATGCTAAACAAACTGGCAATTGTTTTTATTCCGTCTTCTATGATATTCACTCTTGGAACTCAGACACCATACCATGAAGATGTATAAGCAGTTTTTGCACAGTTAATTAAGAGAGGAGCTGAGTTCTCCGAATGCAAGCCCTCACTTAGTTTCTAGACAACAGCCAGGAATAACTTACCAGCCATGTGAAGGATTCTCCAGCCCCTGCAGAGCTGCTTCAGCCAAAGCTATGAGGAACAGACAAACTCTCCCTGCCAAACTCCGCCTAACCTGCAGATTCGTGAGCAAAATAAATGCCCACAGGTGTTTAAGCCACTAAGTTTTAAGATAGTTTGTTATGCAGCAATAGAGAACTGGTACTTGAATATAATAAAGAGTGGCTGGTCAAAAATGGCTTCCGAAAATTCTCTAACCTGGTACTGTAAATCACAGTAGATTCTGACAAGCATAATCTTTAGCACCAAAGAATTCATTCATGCATGGTCTTCATAACTTAACTGAGTCACATTCTTTCTAACATGTTCACCCAAAACTATGCATTTGACTTTCTTGTTAAGAAATGTTTTTAAAGAGAGAAAATAGGCAAGAAAGCTACCAGGGCACAAAATCTCTTAAACTATCAAGCAACAAAAAGTATGGACAGCTCTCAATGTATCTTCTTTTAAAAAGCAACTTGAGGTGAATTTTTCATACCACCCTCTTGAACAACCCAAAGCGTCAAGGAGCTTCAACTCTGCTCTCTCCTTACCTCCAGCCTCTCGGGCGGGGGCTCATTCTGTAGGATTCTCAAAGCTTTGGCAGCAGCATCGTGTTTTGCAGCTTGTCTTGTCTTTCCTTTCCCATTAAATTGCTGTCCTCCCACAGAGAGTTCGACTTGATAAAGTAAGGGTGGTACTGGAAATGGGTAAAAGTACCTAAAAATGAAAGGGGGTGAGGAAAATTAGTCTCAGATTGATAAATCACCCATACATTCTCTGGAAAATTGCAGGTACTTTCTTCATTATGGGTCTTAATTGCATTAGTGTTTGCTTGCCAATGAGGACTCCTCATCATATATGCAGGGCAAATTTATTCAGGATTAAAAGTGTCACACATGCTGAAACCGGTTTGGCTAAGTGGTTAGAGCGTCGGCCTGCGGACTGAAAGGTCCCAGATTTGATTCCGGTCAAGGGCATGTAGCATATACCTTGGTTGGGGGCACATCCCCAGTGGGGGTTGTGCAAGAGGCAGCTGATCGATGATTCTCTCTCATTGATGTTTCTAACTCTCTATCCCTCTCTCTTCCTCTCTGTTAAAAATCAATGAAATATATATTTAAAAAATAATAATAAATAAATAAAAAGCACAGAAGTTCAAATGTCAAAAAGTACCCACCAAATAATAATCAGGTAATCACTGAATGCTGAGATGCCCAGTATTTCAGGAGTCATGATAAAAAGTGACTCAGTTTACACAAAGCAGTTACAAGGGTGATCTTTAACCAAACTGCTTGGGGGCACACGGTGAGGAACATGCTCAGGCCCTTTCCAAAGACAAAAGAGCATCAAGATGCATTCCAAAGATACCAACACAATGAAGACTGACTTCCACACCTGGCAGACCAAAGATGACCGAATTATCAATAATGCATAGATTACATTATTCTGTGTGCAAGATCAGATAAATTTTCACCTGTATTTAAAACACATACATACCTGGGGGGATAAGCACCTCCTCTCATGTTGTAGTTATAGGTGGATTGCATCCGAGAATATGGGTCAACAGGCTTATACATTGGTTTTTTTCCAAGTTTCATGCACAGTGCATTTAGCTTTACAGTAGGGGTTATGCTGTCTGCAACACAGAATTAACACAAGAACTTTTTCTTTTTTCTTACATGAGAATGATAGTCACTAAAATAAAAAATAGCATGCTTTCTATTAATTTAATTCATGATACAGTTCATGAAAGAGTCTAAGTACTTCACTGGTAGGCATCAGGTCAGGAAATCCAAGAATCTGCTCTGATCTCTAGATATTAATACACAGTTAAAGACACAAAATATACTCTAAGGCCGCGGTCGCCAACCTTTCAGACCTCACAGACCACCAATGGTCCATGTACCACTGGATAGCAACTGCTGCTCTAAGGGATATTAGAAGGAGCAACAATTTAACACATGTTATCAGTGAAAGCCACATATTCCAGTTGTCACAAATATAATTTCCATGATTAAAAAATCCCAGATGAGCCGAAACCAGTTTGGCTCAGTGGATAGAGAGTCGGCCTACAGACTGAAAGGTCCCGGGTTCAATTCCAGTCAAGGGCATGTACCTTGGTTGCAGGCACATCCCCAGTAGGGGGTGTGCAGGAGGCAGCTGATTGATGTTTCTCTCTCATCGATGATGTTTCTAGCTCTCTATCTCTCTCCCTTCCTCTCTGTAAAAAATCAATAAAATATATATTTTTTAAAAATCTCAGATGGCCAAAACTGGTTTGGCTCAGTGGATAGAGCGTCGGTCTGTGAACTGGAAAGTCCCAGGTTCGATTCCGGTCAGGGACATGTACATTGGTTGCGGGCACATCCCTGGTGTGGGGTGTGCAAGAGGCAGCTGGTCGATGTCTCTCTTCCATCAATGTTTCTAGCTGTCTAGCTCTCTCCTCTCCCTTCCTCTCTGTAAAAAATCAATAAAATATATTTTAATAAAAAAAAAAAAATCCCAGATGACCTCAGCTGGTATGGATCAGTGGTTAAGCATCAACCTATGTACCAGGAGGCCATGGTTCGATTCCCGATCAAGGTACATGCCTGGGTTTCGGGCTTAATCCCTAGTAGGGGGCATGTAGGAGGAAGCCAATCAATGATTCTCTCTCAACATTGATGTTTTTATCCTTCTCTCTGAAATCAATAAAAACGTATTTTAGAAAATCCCAGGTAAGCTCTAGTGGGGTGGCTCAGTTGCTTGAAGCATCATTCTGTATACCAATAAAGGTTACGGTTTCGATTCCAAGTTGGGGCACATACAGGAGGCAACCGACCAATGTTTCTATGTTCTTCTCTCCCTCCACCCTTCCTTCCCCCCCAACATCACCCCCCACCCCCGTTCTCTCTTTCAATAAAGCCTGACTGGCATGGCTCAGTGGTTGAGCATCAACCTATGAACCAGTAGGTCACAGTTCAATTCCCAGGGGTTGCAGGCTCGATCCCAAGTGGGGGGCTTGCTGGAGGCAGCCAATAATGATTCTCTCTCACCAATGATGTTTCTATCCTTCCATATCCCTTCCTCTCTGAAATCAATTTTAAAAACATATTTTAAAAGTAATAAATAAAATCAATAAAAATATCCCTGAGTCCTAGCCAGTATTCTCAGTGGTTAGAGCATAGGTCTGCACACTGAAGAGTCTTGGTTCAATTCCCAGTCAAGGGTACATACCTGGCTTGCAGGTTTGCTCCATGCCCAGGTAGTTGGGTGTGTGGGGGAGGCAACCAGTCAATCTCTCTCTCTCTCTCTCTTTTTCTCTCTCTCATCAATTTCTCTCTCTTGCCCTCCCCCCAAACTTCCTTTCTTCCACTCTGTCTGAAAGGCAATGGAAAAAATATCCTTGGGTGAAGATTAACAAAAACAAAACATATCCTCAGGTGAGGGGGGAAAAAATCTTAGGTTACTGCCCAAATCGTTTTATTATTTGGGAACACTTAACCAATATAACTTTTATTTTTTTAAATATATTTTTATTAATTTCAGAGAGGAAGGGAGAAAGAGAGGGAGAGAGAGATAGAAATATCAATGGTGAGAGAGAATCATTGATCGGCTGCCTCCTGCATGCCCCACACTAGGGATCAAGCCAACAAAACGGGGATGTGCCCTAACAAGGAATTGAAGTCTCACCTCCTGGTTCATAAATCAATGCTCAATCACTAAGCCAGGCAGGCCAGCCTGATATAACTTTGGTTGTACTGATTTACTGGGTTATTGACTTATACTTAGAAGTATATTTGTACACACTATTTTATAGAACAATGCATTTATTAAGTACTAACTGGATGCAAAGGACTGCTAAATTTGAAGGACACATTCTTGCCCCAGAGGAGCTCAAAGAAAACAAAATACACTCAAAGAAAGACAACACAATGTGTAATAAAGGCAGGTATAGAAACACTGAGAAGACAAATTCTATCTGATGAAGTTAGATGAGAACCACAGATATTTCCATTCTCACTATTTATAATGAGATTTGGCAAATCAATCATGTGGCTATACTTGTTAGGAAAATGAGTTGTTTTCACATACAACAGGAGCAAATATATCTTGGGTTATCTCAGAATTATCAACTTTAGAAAATATACACTATTCATTTTCCAATTATTTTCTAAGTTCATCCAATTCATAACTCTTCACACACAAAAAAAAAACAACAGCCCACAACTTGGAAACATTAGTTTCCAAGTCAATGCACAATCACATTTAAAAACTCTTTAATATCAAAAGTTAATATCAAACACAGAATAACACTAGCAATGGCAAAGTTCAATTTAAATGCACACAAAAAGCCACTTTAAAATGCTTCTTTTGGGTACTATATAGAGGAAAACGAAAACGTCCTGATTCTGTACTATAATTGGTCTGGCTAAATTTAGTGCTTGAATCAAATTTGTAAGAATATTTCTGGATTTGGAAAATCAGAGGGTCACATGAATAACCAACCCACTTCTACTTAACATCAATCAGAATTACATTTTATTTAATTCATATAATTGCATATTAAATATAACTTGAATCATTTTAAGATCAACTCTGACCCATTACATTTATCTGCAGAAGAGAATGAATTTAAAGACACAATACCACAAAAAAGTCAAAAGCAATGAGAAAAGTGGACTAAAGTCTTCCAGGATCATTCCTGCAAACAAAAGGCACTCTTCTTTATTAGTATTTTTCTCACTTGGTTTCCTTGTTTGAAGAGATATTATCTACTGATTTGTATTTATTTTCTCATTCTTTTTAAAAATCAGGAGACATATAACTGATAATCAGGACTTCTGATCAACATGTTATAATCACTATCAGCACACTGAGTTGAAGTGATTCTAACTAAAATCTTCATTCGTGGCAATCTGTACAAACTTGTCAAGGGGGAAAATGTATTTTCATTTAGCTTTTCTGAAATTTTAGTAATTATTTGGTGACACCACCACCTCCCATGAATGATTCTCCAGACCATCAAGAATGGAGGGACCACTGATTGGGAACCACTGCTTTCAAGTTGGGATAAGTATTTGCCACTGGTAGTGCAGAATCTGTGCTTTCAAAATTCAACAAGAAATAATTCATATAACATACTAAATGGGTACCTCTAAACATACTTTTGAAAGGAATCTGTCTTGGCTCATGCATAATACCTGGATTCCTTCCTTCGCTATGAAAAGGGCGGACTATGGGTTTAGGAAATTTTGTTCCTTCCAAAGCTTTGGCAGCAGCTGTGTGTTGGGCTTTTTTAATACTAGTTCCTTCAGCTTCCCAGCGCTGATCTCCAAGTGTTAGCTGTACTGTAAACACCTACAAATGAAAATTGTGAGCTCTCAATTCATGAAACCTGCTGTTAGTTGTAATGTCATTTGGACCTTGAACATATTTTATGTCATGGTTTAAAAAGCCTGGACATTATATTGGTAATTTTTCTCATCACTACCTTTTTTTTGGTTTTTACAAACACAAAAAGATTGTGTGTGTGTGTGTGTGTGTGTGTGTGTATAAATAAATAAATATATATATATATTAGCATTCCATGAAAAAATTATGCTTTAAAAGTTGGGGGTACATACAGACATTGTAAAATGTTTTCTTATATATTAAAATATTAGACACATTATTTGGAAATCATCCAAATAGATATTGTCTTCCAGTTACTTCTCATGGAAGAAATTTAGCAAACTTGATTTAGATACATTACAGCAACTCACATAAAATTAAGGTATTTGTTTTGATGTTGTAATGTGTTTGTAGACTCTTGCCTGAAAACACAACCTCAATAGGACAAAACTTGAATAAATTTGGGAATGTCAGCCAGGATCTAAAATGCTGCCTTTCACTTTCCTAAGATTTAGATGCTGCCTCCACTTTCTCAAAGAAAACCAGATCCACAGCAAGCAGAGCTAAAAAATGTTCCCGAATTCAATTTTAATGAGGCATCCAAAACAGCTAATTTCATTCTCAACAAATGGCCTCTTTCTTAAGTATAAAGGTAACTGCACTCCACTCTTAAAATTACGTTATGTTAATGCTATCAGTATTGAATTAATACTGTCAGAGCACTGTGATTCATTAATTTTGGTGTACAACTAAAGAATAACCTAGGAAGCATAGTAAAATACACATCCCAAGAGATTTCCAATTAATAACATGAGGGACAACTGAACATGTCTAATTTTAATGAGTTCCAAAGTGATCATGATGCACTCCAAAGTGAGACTCACTAATTTGGAGCTTTATTCTCCTGATTTTATCACTGAATATAACTTTATTTCATTTAAAATAATCTATATGAGAAATGTTGCCATCAGTATGTCTAGGTCATTTCAGTATGGTGCATAAAGGGATGGGGGTGACTTGCCTTCATAGCTGATTTTTCTTTTTCTTTCTTTTTTTTAAACATATTTTATTGATTTTTTACAGAGAGGAGGAGAGAGGGATAGAGAGCCAGCAACATCGATGAGAGAGAAACATCGACCAGCTGCCTCTTGCACACCCCCTACTGGGGATGTGCCCGCAATCAATGTACATGCTCTTGACCGGAATCGAACCTGGGACCTTTCAGTCCACAGATCGATGCTCTACCACTGAGCCAAACCGATTTTTCTTATTAGGTCTTAACTTTAGGATTCCCTCAGTGCACAGCTTCCACTAACGGGGAAAAATGAGACTCCTTCATCCCCTGGACAGATGGGGCTTCCTGGATTTATACTGCATTTCACAAGGTTAGTTATTTAAGCACTAATAGCATGAACACAAACCCCTGGCTGGCCTGTGAAGTCTGAGCAGAAGCCTGCAATGCTGTGCAAGCCCTGGGTCATGAGCGTGATTCTTTCATGGAAAGGCACTGAAGGGGAAATGCTAAAAAACAAAATTAAGAGTTAATTCCATTAACAGTTTTGCCTTTCACCAGAACCTTACTCATCCAGTGCTATTGTCACTCTGTTGCCTTCCATGTGGAGAGGTGATAGCGAGTCAGAATCTTAGTTTTTATAAAATTAAGTGTACACCAGACCTGTGACTTTTTAAATAGTATAACAGTCAGCTAGGAGGGAATAACTCTTCCTCTTTGACTGAGTTGTAAGTTTTTTTTAAAAATGCAGTTATAGATGGACCACACAACCAAATTACTTAGAGTATCAAAGTTCAAGTAAGAAAGTTCATATTTTAAAAATATCAAAATAGTTAAGCCAAAACTGGTGTGGCTCAGGGGATAGAGTGTCGGCCTGCGGACTGAAGGGTCCTGGGTTTGATTCCGGTCAAGGGCATGTACCTTGGCTGTGGGCACATTCCCAGTTGGGGGTGTGCAAGAGGCAGCTGATTGATGATTCTCTCTCATCGATGTTTCTAACTCTCTATCCCTCTCTCTTCCTCTCTGTAAAAAATCAATAAAATATATTTTTTTAAATAGTTAATAAAGGAAATCTCAAAGTTAAGTTCTGCAAAAAAAAAAAAAAAAAAAAATTCTGTAGAAGAAACAGAACAGTTATAGAAAATGACTAATTGCCTGCTGAAAATAAAGTAACTTCAAAATATGCTTTAGAATAATGTTAAAACTAGCTTCATGTGAGTGGAAAATCTGTTTTTCTTAAATGCATAATTGTTTAATAATAATAGTTACCATTTCTCAAGCATTTACTAAGTGCCAGGCATTGTGCTCCATACTTTATCATATTCTCTCATTTAGTTTTTACAATAGACATATTTAAATAGTATTATTATTCCCACTTTACAGATGAGGAAACTGAGGTTCAAAAAAGGTAGTAACTTGCTCAAGTTCACAAAACTAGTAAGAAGCTAGGATTCAAACCCAATTCTGTCTGACTCCAAAGGCCATTTACCTAACCTATGCTATGGTTCCTAATTATGATAATGGTTGGTGTTACTTTTAGTCAAATGAAAAGGAAACTTGTTATTATTTAAGGCTCCAGGTTTGCATGTCAACAAAAATGAGACATAAAGAGACAATTTATTAAAACTAGGATCAGAAACAGGAGGCTCAATTCCTTATCTCTCATACTATAACTTCTCAAACTATATCTTCTCATACTACACTGGCAACAGATAAAACTAGATATGCAAACATTTAGGTTCCAATATCTGCATTAGCAAGAATATTAAACAAGCTTAAAAAACTGAATTCCTGAACAAATAGTAAACATTTACATTACAGTCATTTTTCATTCTCCAAGGTAAGGGGAATGACAAGGATAACTGACACCAGAGACAATGCAAAAATACTCACTTTGAGACCGATTCCTACCTCTCATCTTCAAACTTTTTACCTAATGTCTAGTAAATGGCAAAACTGATTTTCAGTTCACCCCTCTCCCGCCTAGTCTAAGGTACTCTTGTAAACAAGCAGGAAAGAAGCCAGAGGTAGGCCATAACCAGGATGGCCGAGAGCCTGGAAAACTCACAGGAAATCATTTGCAGGTTGTTGAGAATATACGAATTGGAGCTTTAAAAGCAAAATGTCCTAAACAGAAGTATATATTTTATTTGACCCATTCTACAAGGATGAAAAAAGAATCAACTTGCCAAAATCTATCTCTTTTCAATCTCTTTAAGACAACCACAGTAGTTTGAAAATACGTATTTTGAATCACAGCACCACTTGCAACAGTATAAAAAAAGAGAGAAAACATTCCTGGTGGGTTATAAATGCACAAGCAGTATGAACAATATTTACCTTACAGTGAGCTGGACCTTGCTCACGCAAAAGCTTATACTCAGGCTGAATCTTGTTGAAACGGGCTAACTCATTCACAAGACACATTGGGGTTTTCTCTTTGGGGTGTGCCATGCTAGAAGGAACTGAAAAATAATGTAAGAGCATTGAAGTCAAGTACATAGACTGCTGCTCTCCTATGGATATGAAAAAGAGGGAAAACAAACTAAAGGTCTGAGGATTTAGAATGGCAGTAATGCAAAACTGCAAACCACAATAGGGGCGTGTGCCTGAAGACAGCTGGGAACTTTTCTGAACTAGTTGAGTCCAGCTCACCTGGAAGAGGGTGTCTTCAAAGGAAAGAGAGTAAGAAGTCAGGAGAATAACTAAACCATGGCAGACAAGCAAAATCTGATATCAGATGAAGCACTGCTATTACAACTAACCAAGAGAGTAACAAGGAGGTCTTTGAGCAGACATATACTGGTTACGGCAACAGCTGTCAGCTATATTCTAATCGTTATTTCACAACACGCAACATGCCAACACCATTTCTCAAACAATAACTGTCATTTTCCACACACTTAACTTCTCATTCCAGGGTGTCCCCTACTCTGATCTCCAGAGGCTGCCATCCTCAGACCTTAGCTATTTTTAAAAATTATTCTAAGTTAAATAAAATGGCCTCAGTGGGCAGGAGTTTTACAAAGTTAATAGAATGTAAATATAAGACACATTAGAAGAAAAAGCGATACATCACAGAGAACTGAAATAATTGGTGCCATTGCCTTTTAAGCCGGACTCAAATGGCAAATGTGGGTAAAACTGAATCTCTAGGATTATGAAAAGTCAAGAATGCTATCTGGTGAGCCAGTCAAACAATGTCCAGAGCCATGCAGCTCAGAGTGGGACAAGCTAACACTCTAAGAATAAATTTACAAAGGAAATAAACAATGAAATGCAAAGGAAATTATCAGGTGTAAGAGATAGAAAGGCACTTGCTATTAATACAAGGTGACTCTGCATGGAGACAACCATGCTCACATTCATTTAATTGGTTTTGCCACTTTAGGAAGAGGGAGAATATTGTTTTTAGTTGTTTTTTTATTTAGATGTTTCAAGTCTTTTCTAATCAATGAGCACATTTTTAGTTTCCTAATAATTAAATTTCAGTGACTCTAAACTTATTTCCTTTTTATAAATCTCTACTTCTTCGTTCAATCTCTAAATTGATCCTCACTATGATTCCTAAACTACCTCTGAAATCTCAAACTTATTCAAAATAAAAATTAACAAATTCCAATGCACTCTTCTGCTTGCCAGTAAAGCTGAGTGCCCCCTTGCTTGGAATAAATTTTTAGAGACATTCAAAAAGGGGGCTTACAAGAATTCTTTATTAGTTCTGGGAAATAATTTTAAAAGCAGGATTTTCCCATATAACAATGACTCCAAAGTGGAACTTATTGTTCAATTCTCTCTGCCAGCCACCACTTTATAACAGACTTGACATTATAATTGTTTTCAATTCTCTTTCTTTACACTTTGAAATGGTCTGTCAACTAAGGCCTCCATTCAATCCAATGCACAACCAAGTGTTTTATATCTGAGATTAAAAAAAAAGCTTGGGCAGTAATATTTTCTTCTGCTTCTTGAAGGTAAATATGAAAGCTCCCTAGCTCTGCAATCTATTTAAATAATAATAAATAAATAAAACAGGTTGAGAACACATTTGAAACAGAAGACACTTGGATTCATATGCTTGCTTACCTGCAGCTGCAATGATGGGTGTAATAGATGCAGAGGGTAAAGCAGAGTTTTGAATAGGTCTACCTGCATTTTCAGAGGGCAGAGAGCTAGTAGTAGAAGGAATACTCATCAAAGGCTGTGAGAGAAGAGACTGGTTCTTGTTCAGTATTTGGCTCCCTGAGAGAGCAGCAGATGGGTTCTGAACTTGCACTTGAACTTGAGACATGGTCACTTTCAACAAAAGTGAACAACTGCAGGTAAACAGCTTTCAGTGCAGGTTAATTCAGTGCTATGAAGTCTAAAGTTCTACCTAAAAGTTGTAAGGGAAAGAAAATAAAAAGGTAAATTATAGAGGAGATGTGTAACTGCCAATGTTCAGTCAAAACTGGTGTCACCTTCTCAAGCATGAAAATAGCCCAATTTAGCATGTAGCTATGACCATGTATTCGAACTGTTTCTCCTTGGTATACAAGAAGGTTCCTGTTTTTTTTTACTTTCTCAGTGTTTTTAAATTACTTACAATACCCTTATGCTCTGCATGTTCATTTTATGAGGAAAATCAATAGGGTATCATAATATTTATTGGTGACTATTAAGAATTATAAATTGCAGCTGATATTAAAAAATATAAAAATGGAGAGGTTTTTCCATACTATATAGGATATGGTAAAAATTTCTGGCCTCAAAATTCTAGGAAGCTGAAAGCAAACTGGTTGTAACACCATTAATAGGTGAATGTAAATACTGCTTCCATTTAAGGGCAATGTGCTCAGATTGGCACCTTTAAAGCTTCCCTTTAAGCTGACTGAAGAAAGAGAAAAATTTCTCTTCTGCTGTTTTTTTGTGGGTTTTTTTTTTTTTAATGATAAAAGAGCAATTTGTTTTCCTAAGAGTTTTGTTTTGAGATGGTCTCATTTACATACCTCAAAGAAAACTATTGCACTCACATCAATGCTTGATCCTGAGAAATCTGAATAGCAGAGAACTTTCTATTGATTTGTACAACTAAAAGCAAAAATAGAGAAGATGAAGAAGAGAGGAACAGATTTCAGACTGGCAATTTTACTGGTGTGGCTGGTAAAGCCTCCGAGGGAAGCTCCAAAGGCATTCTTTCTAAATACACTGATTTCTCCACAAGTCCAAAATAAGGACAGTTCTATCATTTTCATGATCATCATGCAAAAAGCTGAAAATACTGAAGGCAAATGTACTCAAAAAATAACCAGTAGCAACAAAGAACAGAAAGCAGAAACAAGCAAATGAGTTTTATTGCAGAGTAATTGTTCATCACTTTAATTTTTTCAAGTCTCAAAAATGATTTTTAAAGAAAGCTAGACCTTTAGAAAGAGATGAATGGCCGGAACAATTAAGTTACTTGAGGATTCCTGACATATTCTCCCTTGCTGAAAGCAAAAAGGACTACAAACCTCAACCAAACCAAATCCAAAAACCTCAACTACAATATGACTTTGGATCACAGAGGCATAAACAGTACCCTATTCAACAAAATTGCCCAATATTGCAGTTGTTTCTTTTGTTGACTTTTGGAATCAGAACCAAATAGTTCCACTGAGGATCATAATGATCTTAGCAGACAAGCTGCCAGTATTAAGAAACAAGTCCAGAAGCATTGTTTCATTGTTTTTATTTCCTTTAGCTGCCAAAATATATTTTTCTCAATCTTCCTCCTCCTTCTCTTATTCACCTTCTTCCTCTCCCTCTCCTAAACTGTCTTGAGGACATTTTTCTACAAAAAAAAGACACTTATAATATATTCACAACACTTTAGGACACCAACTCCAGACCAAAGGTAGCCAAAAGGCCATAACTAGTTTGGCTCAGTGGATAGAGTGTCAGCCTGCAGACTGAAGGGTTCTGGGTTCAATTCCAATCAAAGGCACATGCCCAGTAGGGTGCATGCAGAAGGCACCTGACCAAGTCTCTCTTATCATTGACTAGAACCCAGTGCATGGATTCGTGTACCAGTGGGGTCCCTCAGCCTGGCCTGTGCCCTCTCACAATACAGGACCCCTGGGGGGATGTAGAAACACACAAAGTGGCAGGTGGCCAGGGAGGAGCCCACGCCCCACCTGGGCACCGCTCCTGCTCATCCTGGCCCCACTGTGACTGCCACACATTGCCTGGAGGTGAGATGGAAAAGACTCACACCACTGCAACTGTGCTGGCCAGTGTGAGCCTGGCTTTTGGAGCCCGTAGGTCAGCTAAGTGGCTCTCCAGTTGTGGAAGTGCACTCACCACCAGGGGGCAGCTCCTGCATTGAGCATATGCCCCCTGGTATTCAGTGCACTTCAGTGCTTAGGGTTTATATATATATAAATGTTTCTACTTCTCTCTCCCTCTCTCTTCCTCTCTGAAATCAAAAAATATATATTTTTTAAAAGTAGCCATAAGCAAGTGTTTGCTTCAGAATCTACCCATACCCCAGAAGGAGCAATCCAACTTTGCTCTCAGTAACTCCTTAGAGTCTGAGACTTGAATGAATGACTTAAATTTAGAAAGAAAGGGGCCCAAAGGGATCTATTTTGGTGAATGCTATCTACGTCAGGCTCACTGCCAACATTTCCATCACAGACAAAAATACACAGATTTTCTAGAAGTTGAGAAAGGAAACAAACAAGCTTTTTAAGTAAAACTGTCCTTAAATGTTAACCTCAAGTTCACCTGAAGTTTTATCTTTATAACAACTGGTAGAAAACAAGTAGTTCGAAAAATAATAATAAAAAAAAATTACTCTCCTAATAAGGATGTGTACTTTACAAATTTTTAACTTCCAACACTAAAATCCAACAAACATTATTCATTTGCTAATAAATTTTTAGTCATTTGCTAATTTAACACTTCTATGTGTCTTCAGGCCTGAAAGAGAATCTAAAGCAGTGGTTCTAAAGAGGGAGTAAGTGTGTTCCCCAAAGACATGTGACAGTATCTGGAGACATTATTTGGATGTAACAACTGGGGGACCACGGGATCTAGTGGGTAGAGGGTCAAGGATGTTGTTTCAAGTATACATATACTAATCCACAAAATAAAATCTTACACTATTTAATTAAAAAATTATATATTTTCTAATACAGAAAAAGAAAATCCCCTTTTTACCTCAAAGGCTCTAAAAAACAGATGCTAATATTTTACCCAAACAAATGCTCTTTTCCTAAAGAGAAGCTTGGCAGCTATCAAAGTTATGAGGAAAAATATATTGTTTATAAATTCAAAGAATAAATAAGGCTTTTGACTACTGCTGTTTATATAGTTCACAGCAGCCTTCAGGGGAATCATGGAATTTTGGATATGCTACATCTGTATAAATTTAGAAAATTTGATGCTCTGTCCTGAAGATCAAGTCCTTAACCGAAAACTTGTTTTTTTCTTTTTAACCTATCTTTAAGGATTATTTTCCACCATATAGATTAGGGACTCGCCGAAACCGGTTTGGCTCAATGGATAGAGCGTCGGCTTGGGGACTGAAAGGTCCCAGGTTCGATTCCGGTCAAGGGCATGTACATTGGTTGCGGGCACATCCCCAGTGGGGGGTGTGCAAGAGGCAGCTGGTCGATGTCTCTCTCTCATCGCGTTTCTAGCTCTCTATCTCTCTCCCTTCCTCTCTGTAAAAAATCAATAAAATATATTTTTTAAAAAATAGATTAGGGACTCAAGAGAAATACTTTGTTGGAATTTTCTTATTTTACACTCAGTAAAATTAGAGTGAAAAGTTTGAAACACAAAGTCTCTTCAGTTTTTCCCAGGGCTGAAAACACCTTTGACTGTTAAGCCTGTGTTATGCTATTTCCCCTGCCTCCCGGCTCCAGCACGGATGAGGGTCTTGGTCTTTTCCTATATGAAGAGTTAGACACCAACTCAGGAAAACACGTTTATTTTATTCTCAAATCCAGAATTTACAAAACATATATCAACACTATACCACAAAGAGGGGTGCTATAACAGAATTATAGGACATCTTTTGAAAAGATTCCTAATTCCAAACCTTCTCTCCTTGGCCCTGTCCCCTGCTCAACACATCCTGGGTCCTAAATTTGGCTTGGTGATACAAAAATCTTTTCATAAAAAAAAAAAAAGTTTCACCTTGGCTGGCAGCTTCCATTTTACAAGTGCCAAGTACTTTTTAATGGGTTGTGGGAAGAGGAACAAGAGCACATTAAACATAACAATAGCATTTTTAAAATAATACATGATGTGCTAAAAAGTGATCAGGCACAAAAATGTATATTCTTCACTAAGCAGTGAACCTACCAAGACTAGGCCATACTGAGTACAATGTGAATGATTTAATATACAAGGCAGACCCTTTTAGAAACAGTTTACAGAACTATATACAATAATGGTTAGTCTTATTCACTCTCAATTAATGTTGTTAAATCATTGTGGTATGACATAACTGCTTTAACAAATATAGAAAAACATCATTTTTAATATCTAATTTTTAACTGGATTACTTTATAATTTATAAAGAAGTATCTGTACTTCTGTGTAATCAACATTATAAGTAATGTCTCCAAACAAGATGTTTAAAAAGAAAAAAGGAAAGAGGTCATCCTAATTCTAGACAAGATTTTAAGATAGCCACAAACATTTCACTAAATATCTCCCCATTGAACTTCTTGAGTAGTATGGAAACACAGTTCCTTGCCGTAATAAGGCACTTGCATTATCAATAGCAACTTTAGGATATATTTATTCAATATTCAACAGGTATTTATTAAGCACCTACTACATGTGAACCCATATATATCAGATTGTACATTTTCCAGTGATAGAATCAATTTGTTAAAGTTTCCTCAAAGACCCTAACAAGGCCCTGCCATACCAGCAGACAGCAGCTGTGTGTTGCTGAAGGATGCTCAAGACCAAACCAGAAACGGTCAGACCTGCATCACCACCATTTGTCCACCAACCAGATCTGAAATATCATGGCTGACATGTACACATAAGGAACTGATTGACATTGAAATTGGGACTCAAAAAAACTGTTGGCCCAGAAAGGAACTCACTATAGACTGATTCATTTGCCTCTCAGCATAACCAAAATGACTTGTCTCAGTTTCAGTTCTTATAAGAGTATTTCTTGGATCACATGATCTCACACATCTAGAGGAAATAACGAACAACATAAACTGACGAACAAAAACAGACCCAGAGAAAGAGAAGCAGCGATCAGATCAAACCTCAGAGGGAAAGTAGGGGAGGATG